CCTTCTCTCGGACGCTCCACAAAAAAAGAGCACAGGTGAGAATTTTTTTTTTAACCTTCTTGCTTTCAAACATCTTGACTTTGTACATGAGGTTTTATTTCTGTTGCACTGTATTCAGATATTATCACAATGTCTCTCTCTGCTCATTTTCCAGAAGCTTAAACAATGAGAAGCGCTCACTCTTTGGCTGGAATCCTGCTCCTCATCGTGATCCAAAGCAGCTGGCAGATGCCTGACCAGGACACAGACCGAAATCCCATGTAAGATCAACTCTCAGCTTTTGCCTTTCACATTGGCCTGAAAACCTCCCTTAGCAAATATGCTTAATGAGAGGATTAGGAAGGTCTCACCATGACAGTATTTGGTGACACCATCCTGAGCTGCAAGAAAAATGAATGCTGCAAATCTTTTGAAGCAAACAACCAGATTTTTAAAAATGGCTTAGATACTTTTTTTTTTAACTCTGTAGCAACGACCACATTTTTAAACTTAAATGTTTTTCTTTTTTGTTTGATTTATCCTTATTTTTGCATTTATTTTTTGCCTTGAGAGGGTTCCAGTTGGACAACATTTCTTAAGGAAGACAGGCAAAGGATACTCGTGCTGGCAGACTGCTTTGCCATTGACAGCTCCATGTGTTGCATTCAAAGTATCAGCTGTTGACTTTACAGGAACAGGATCTCCAAAGCGAACAGACCAAACGTCATTATGCCAACTGTAATTCTTAATGAGAAAAGCTCATTTTAATTTGCATTTTAGTAAAGTTATGTGAGATGCTTTATCTTTCATGTATTTCAGTGCCTTCCTTGCAGTGTTATTTGCATGTATTGGCATTATAATATTTCTTTGATTTGGTATCAGGAATTGTAGCGCTGGCTGATGCAAAACTCATTTCATAATCACAGCGTCAACGAGATTTAGATTTACAGACATGATTACTGATTCTAAAATATATGAGTAGTGTTTGGTGGATGGGATTAATGCAGCAGGATGAGAAGTTGTAGTGCGCTAGGGGAGCCCACAACACAGAGAAGGGACAGTTTAAAGGGCAGGAAGGCTCGGACAAGAAAAATGGTACTCATTTACAGACATATGACGGTAAGGGGAGTGTTTGAGATGAAACTGTGTCAACTGAAGCCTTATTATCTCCATCATGTCTAGGCAACTGGCTGAAAACTCCATGCTGAGTGAACCCATTGAGCTCCCAAACATGAAGAGACACTCAGAGGGAACATTTTCCAACGATTACAGTAAATATCTGGAGACGAGAAGAGCACAAGACTTTGTCCAGTGGCTAAAGAACTCAAAAAGGAACGGGTAAGTGCACCCTTTTCATATGGGACCATTTCAGCGTGGTGTCACAGACAGTATGAATTAAATAAAGGTAAAGTCTGTAATATATTGAGTCTGGCTTTATTTGCACTAATACTGTAAATATGCCCCTGGCATTGGATCAACAACACAATTACATACATCATCTAAATCCGACTGTCTCCACAGGAGCATATTTAGACGCCATGCAGACGGCACCTACACCAGCGACGTGAGCTCCTACCTGCAGGACCAGGCAGCCAAGGAGTTTGTGTACTGGCTTAAGACTGGCCGAGGCAGAAGAGAGTGAACTCAACCAGCAGCTGCCTAAATAATCCGACAGCTCACACTGTCACTGTGCTATTATATGTTTCACGATCTGTGCTAGACTTTTTTTTTTCTTTGTCATGCTATTAAAATCCCCTCCTGAGAAGCTCTGTCGGCCTTCAGTGGTTGAAGGAAGTGTTGTCAAAATGCAAAAAGTTACAGTATGTTTTAAATGTGTCTCGATCATAAATGCTGTGTGATCTTTTGATCAAGCATTCACATCATGATTCATTTGTTCACATTTTGGCATCTTCATCCTCCTCCTCACATAAAATGTGTCACATTATTCATCTGAACTGCGATAATTACGTCTGTAGATAGTCTCAATACCTTTTCTTATTATTCAGATTAAAGTCATATTTAGTTTTCAATAAAGAAATGTGTACAATCTATGAGTTCCCTGTTTCAAAGAAATTAATTAATATTTGAAATATTGGTTTGACAAGTATCATTCTTGGCGAGGATCTACATCTAAGTGTGCATATGTACATCCACATATATAACATATAAAACTTAAATCAGTAGTAATTCCAAAGAGAACATTTTCTACATATTTGCTTTAAGGAGAATATAAAAGCTGTGTTAAGCTCTGATAGCGAGCACCAATCACGCTCTCCTTCTGTTTATGGAGGCGGAACAAAAATCAATAAACACGTTGCTCCACAGGGAGATACGTGCTTTGGGATTTCTACCAGGTAACAGGATGATGTGTGTCACCTGTCAGCTGTTCACTGGTGAAGGATCTCCAAGTGATGCTCTGACAGCACACCAAGGAGGGTTATGCTAAACGAAAGAACATGAAATCCAGTCAGTCAGCTCAGACTCGTTGGGAACAATGACTGGGTCGACACCCATGAGTTGCTCCTGGCGCTGAGACAAAACAGGAATTCACATGAGCCAGCAGCTTGACATGCTTTGGGATGTGTCACCTCTCTAAGCTGTCATCCGTAGCACATCAAACCATCTGTTGATTGCGAGAACCTATGCCCACCTCAGTCTATTTGTAGGCCAAATCTCTGAGGGTTAAAGATTGGACATTTATGCTTAGCAGCAGTGATGTTGGATGTTTCCATCATGTCATCCCTCATGCAGCTATTACGTCAATGCAGTGTGTGATCAAGCATGTGCAGCTCTATGCAATTATGTGATAGTTTGTCTGTCACATCTGTAACACTTAAAAGTAATGGTGCAAAAACTTGTTTAAAGGGCCAGTTAACCCCCAAATCAAAAATACATATTTCTCCTCTTACCTGTAGTTCGTCCGTCTAGATATCTTTGGTGTGAGTTGCCAAGTGTTGGAGATATCAGCCGTAGAGATGTCTGCCTTCTCTTAAATATAATGGAACTAGACGGTACTCAGCTTGTGGTGCTCAAAGTGCCAAAAAAAAATACATCTGAAAAACTCAGCAGCAATGTCTCTTTCCAGAATCATGACCCCTTTTATCAAGATAATCCACAGACCTTGTTGTGAGCAGTTTCATGTAGGAACTATTTTCTGTCTTCCAAACTACACCAGCCAACTGTATCAACGCGCACAAGGAAGCATGCATCTACCGCTACCACTTCGATAGCAAATGTTAGGGCTCATTTATGTTCCACATTAGATACAGAGATGGATGGAGCCTTCTGTCTTTAATCTGCGTTCATTTTGTCCATATTTGTTCATGTTTTCCGAGACCTTATGGATAAGAACGAAAGAAATGACTGCAGGAGACAACAGAGAAATTTAAATAATGGTGCAACAGAACCAATTGTTTATATAGTGCAAAGGATTCTCCGTCCACATGTTAAAATGTGCATGATGGCCGCACAGACCACCACCTTCTACAACGCTGCCTCCGTTAAAGGTACAACAATACAACCTCCTCCAACTTTTGACTCTGCCTTCTAGTGCCATCTATTGGCTGTACGACGAATGGAAGTATGAGGGCAGTGATACTTAAATTTGTAATGAATTTCCTCTCAGGGAATAAGAACATATATCTTCTTCTACTATGAAAAACCAACTGTTGTTATGGATGCAGTTCTGATTATTGACTCATTTTAATCAATATTTATGTGAAATTATTGATTTCTTTAGCAAGTAGCCGGTGTAATAAGCGGGATAATGTACAGTGAGCAGGTCATTTTTGTGAACCCTGACAGGGTGATGCAGGGCCCCATTGTGCAGCAGAGGGGCCTAAATCACCCTAAAGATTGTTGTATATTATCATTTATATTGGACATTAGGCTACTTGTTTTGTACCCTTATTATCTTACTATATAATGACGGAAACTATGTCTGTGGGTGTGTCTGTGTGTCTGTGTGTCTGTTCCACGTTTTTCCTCCTCACTGACTTGGTCAATCCATGTGAAATTTGGCACAGTGGTAGAGGGTCATGGGAGGATGCGAATGAAGCAATATTACATCAGTTGGCCAAAGGGAGGCGCCATAGCAACCGATTGAAGTTGCAAACTTTGAATGGGCATATCTCATGCCCCGTATGTCGTAGAGACATGAAACTTTGCACAGAGATGCCTCTCCTCATGAGGAACAAATTTGCCTCAAGAACCCCTAACTTAATATAGATTTTCCGCCATTTTGAATTTTTTGAAAAACACTTCAAATCGATCTCTTCCTAGGAAGTTTGACCGATCCGCATGAAACTGGGTGAACATAATCTAGGGACCAATATCTAAAGTTCCCTCTTGGCAAAAGTTGGAAAACTTACTAAAACTGAGCTTCTATAAGGCAATGAATATTGCGGAGGGTGTGGCTCATCACATAAAGGTGTATAACATCTCAAGGGTTTCACCAATCACCACACAACTTTGTAGGCATATGACCACACATAATCTGAGGGGACCCCTTCATTATTGACCCGATGAAACAAAATGGCGTGTTAGAGAGCTAATTTCTTATCTAGGCCTAACCGCCATATTTATTTTTACTAAACTTGGTAGATATGTAGAACAGGATGCCTCAAGGTGACTGGAGAAATTTAACTCTAATTGGCAACTGGGTGGTGCTATAACAACAGAAAAATGCTTAAAAATGGCTAAAATGCGACCGATCACTGTGGCTCCCCCTGTGGCCCAATATTTTTTCTAATTTTTGGTATGACTAAGTCATGGTATGGTATGCTGTACATAATCATGGAAACTGTCAGTGTGTCATTCTGTCAGTGTGTCATTCTGTCTGTCCCACATTTTTCTACTCACTGACGTGGTCCATCTATGTGAAACTGCACATAGGCATTGAGGATTGGCATAGGTAGAAGGTGACAAAGCTACCAATGGGTATGGATTAGTAAAATATTATTATTGTGCCCAGCTTTGAGGATTGAATCTATCTCTGACAATGACAAGACAAAGAGTGCTCATAGAAATTTATTAAGTTAAAATAACATTGACAAGATATGCATAATAAAATTGTGTTTCAGTGTTTTTTAAAAATAAGCCCATCCCTTGTTCTTTTCCAACACTAATATTAAAGCTTCATTGTCATCCTCTGAGTTGGATTTAATGCCTTCATGATAAAGCTCTTTAATTCAATATTCACAAACTTTATACAAGCATTAAAACGAATTACACAAGCAATACACTGACACCAGGAGGCAAAATACTGTACGTTTCTGCTAGAATACAAGGTATCCTGTAGCAAACATATTTATTTAATTCCACAACATAAATATAGATAAATAATTTCTCATATAAAGAGAGAAGTGACATTCTGGCAGAAAGTGCTATTGCATTTGGTTCTTAAGAGATGTACACATATTGCCCTTTATCAATCAAATTAAAGCATTTATTCCTATAGTCACAACCATTAAATGTCCCATCCCTTAGACAGACATCAGAAATGTGTATTTAGCAGGCTTTTCATGTTCATGTTCATTTATATATGGCTTCTCATAAAGTTTTTATATTGTTATGGTCAAGAATTATGACCTTAAGCTTTTAAAATATCTACTATTTATTGTCACATCATAACAAATGTCTATATAGAACTTAAAGAACAGAAGAACAGAGAATTACAGGGAATCAGTATATAAATAAATAAAGAATCCAAGGATATGTCAATATGATGATATTTCAAAATACAAAGTATATAACAAAATAAGTACAAATTGATCCAATAACAAAAACTTGAACAGTCTCTTAGCATGACAAACCTCTTAGATAACATTCAGTGAAGCAATACAGTATCTAGATTTACAAAGTACAATGTGACATTAACACCAGAAAATAGTAGGTTTCAGCGGTTCATGAAGAGGCAGAATATTTGCAACATATTAGATAACACAGTTATTCACTTACAGATTTACAGGACTAAACATGAAGGATTGATTAACTGCAGCATGAAATACAAATTTGTTTACGAGCACACAGAAGGGACAGTGACAAAGACTCACAACACTGTCATCTGCCGTCTTCGTCTTACACTTCTCATCATCGTCAGTGTTGTGAAATACTGCGAGCCTTGTAGTAAACTGTGCAAATTAAGAAAAAAAATAATATCACACTTGACATGTATTGTCTTTTAAGGAAGTCACTGGCAAGGGTGGAAGAAGTCATTATATTTAAAGATACAGTGGGTAAATTTTATGAAAATAACTTTGTCATACTAACTGAAACTGTTACCATATTCTGACAGAAGTAAATGACACAGATAAGCTGTGGAAGAAAAACCATACTCCTCCTTTTCTTCCTACTGCCTGTGATGGTATTTGCTCCAATTAACCACAGCACACCAAAAGCAACCAGTCAGAGGCAAGGAGTCTTTAAAGCAGCCATCATTCTTGTCATTTACTGGTAATGAACTGCGGTCAAACTGTCAAACTAGGCAGCACTGATCAAATATGAATCAAGATAAGGTAACTGCATTGTCTATTTCTCACCTCAGATGTTTCAGAAACATATTTTAGTGTACTGTTTAGCTGTAAAATAAAGAAAGCTGGTGACCTGTTTGATACAGTCAACTTAAGTACTAAGCACCACTCACTAGCCGGACCAACTTCCTTATTTTACAGCTAAACAGTACACTAAAATATGTTTCCACTAGTTTCCCTGTGTTTTTCCTTGTCCTCTGTTTCCCCTCCCCTTGTCTGTGGCCCAATTCCAATCCGGCCCCTAAAGACTCAAGCCCTGAACCCTCACTGACTTAACTGACGTCAGCTGTAAGTGATTGAGTGTGAGAGTCTGAAAGGGCTCCGGATGCTACAAATAGGAATGGGACAGCACTTATCCCCCTCTCTACAAAATGTTGTTGACACTGGCGGCTCTGGGCGTGATCATTTATTGGTTACTGTCAGCATGCACAAGACACGTGAGGGATAGACTCCCTGATCAGTCAATCCTTATCCAAGCACTTGTGTTGCAAAATGGGCAAGAGGTAAGTTTGAAATAATGAATTTACTGTGTTTTTACCATATGCATGTTTTTTCTAAACTAGCATCAAAAGTGTTGTAAGTGATATAGTGATATCTATCTTATATATATCTATATCGTTACCGTTTGCAGATCTGCCGACCGTGTTTATTTGTTTCCGTTTTTTTTTAACACTTCCGGTGTTCCGAGGGCAACCCCTGTATTTGACGTCACAACGCTATGAACTGTGTGTAATTTCCTTACCGTAAGTCCGCATCGATGCTGACCTACGGTAAGGGGGCATAAAGGGCTCACTCACTGACTCACTGGCCCTGTCCAAATACCCACACTTGCGCCCTTGTGCCCCTTAATTGCACGCTCCCGCTAAGGGGCGCAAGTTATCAAGGGGTGCAAACCTGTGCCCTTAATGCACCCCTTCCTAAAGTGCGCATCAGACCTCACTTCGCTGAAGGATTTTACCCAGAATCCTCCGTAGTGTCGTGACGCCGTAACACTGCACAGCTGGCCGGTACAATTCACCATCTTCAAACGGTAACTGACGTATCTGCGAGCCGTTAACTCCGACTGACAACAACCGTGAGAGGTTGCGCTCCCAACTGCACTTTTGGCAAGTGCACTTCAGGGAAGACCTCAGGGCGCAAGTGCAGGTATTTGGACAGGGCCACTGACTTGACGATTTGACAATGGGACAGCCCACACACACTCACGCACTTCACATGAACGCGCCTCTAATGCCGCATTCGTTTGGCAATCCAGGCCGGTCATTCCTTGTCGGATTTATATGACCGTATGACACGTCTGATCTGAAAGTGTTTCATTGTAACAGTACGGAAAACATGGCAGCGCACCATAAGTTTGTTTTTGTTTACAAAATAACAAATAACTTTGTTTACCATTCACAATGTGCGCAGCCATCTTCGTCGTGACGTCAATTCTACCGATTCGGTCTACCTGGACCTTGCCCGAGTTTGATGATGAGACCTCCGGGTAGAACGGGTGTTCTTTTGTACCTTTCCGGACCGGAAACCGTATCAATCCCGGTTCCGGCTACCAATAGAATGCAGCATTAGTCAGCGGGTATGTCCCAAGTCCCTTAAAATTACTGCTAACCACCTAACCTAGCCACCTTATGTAACTGTTTAGTCCCTCCCACTTAGGAAAACATTTAAGGAGTTAGGAGTGAGGAGCGAGGATTGCTGATAAGAGACATGAGACGGCCTTACTCTGAAGCGTCACGTAAAGCGACGTCCTATTCTGGTGACGGTGGCACCTATGGGCGGCACAGCTGGATCTGCTGCATAACGGAGCCAGCGTTTGGCGTACATCCCAAGTCACATTATATTCGCTGATCAAAGCCGTAACAAATGTGTTTGTGTATGTGTGCGTGCGTGGTGTTATATCACTGGAGCAGCTGCACATTTAACAGCCACGCATCACAGACAGTCCGCTGAACACCGCAACGGGTTGTGAATTAAATAAACTTAATTACAACATGACAGTCTTGCATGAAATATCATTAACGTTACTCTTTGTAGTCACATAGGCATGTTAATTACAGCGTTTCATTGCAAAGAATGCATGTAACGGGTACACTTTCGCTGTTTCTCCGCCATGTCGTTCAAATGAGACAGACGTAGGGGGCGGGTATTTATACGTCATGGCCTCAAGCTGAAAAAGACTTCCTGTTAGGAACCTCTCATGTTACCTTACTCATCGCACCTAACAGATCCCTCCTAACGCCTAACGCTAACTCCTAACTGGCAGGAATAAGAGACATGAGACAGCCTTAAAGATGGCGGAGCTCGAACGACTTCCGGTTCAAGTAAGAAGTTAGGAGTTAGCAGTATAAAATTAGAGACTTGGGACTTACCCAGTGAGTCTGTGAGGGATCGGATTGGAATTGGGCCCGTCTCTCTGTGTGCCTGTGCTGTGTGCATGGCAACTTCCTGATTACATTCAATCAACTCACCTGCTCTCTGCTGCTCACCTGAGAACCATCCAGTAATCAACCCTGCAGTATAAAACACTGGCTCTCCTCTCCAGTCCTCTGTAGTCACTCTTCAGGCTGTTGTTGACTGGTGAATTCAACACAGACTTTTCCTTGTGTGCTTTTTTTTTTTTGTAGAAATGTACCTTGTGTTTTCCTGTGTCATAGGATCACTGTCTTTCTGCCCACCTGTTCTTCTGCCACACTCCCAGCCAGCCAAACCCCTCCAACCTAGTTTGCTTCCCTGTCATCAACCCACTCTCCTCAGCCTCACAACCCCTGTGTTCTGCATTTGGGATCACCTCGTTGATTGTAACACAATGCAGTTACAGAATATTAATTCATATTTGATCAGCACTGCCTAGTTTGACACTTTGACCACAGTTCACGAGCAGTGATTGACATGACTGACACCTGCGTTAAGAGACTCCTCGGCTCTGATTGTTTGTTTTTGTTCAAGTGTGGTAAGGCCATCAGAAGCGTTACAAGGCAATAGAGCTGGAAGAGGATTCTGATTTTTTTTCTCACACATCATCTGTCTCATTTAATGCTGTGGTAATATGGTGACAGTTTCAACAAATATGACAAAAGTTATGTTTTATAAAAGTTACCAACTACAGCTTTAAGTAAAATTAGTAACATCAGATTTTTAGAAGAAATCCATTACAAGATAAATTCCTGCATTCAAAATAATACTTAGGGAGAAATACATAAGTATCAACAACAAAATGTACTTTAAAAAAATCAAAAGTAGAAGAACTCATTGTGCAGAATGGCCCCTTCCAGACTGTTATATTATTATACTCAATATATTGTACAAACTATTAGATCATATGTTATGAATAAAAACTCTCAAACTGAAAAGTAACTAATAACTACAGCATTAAAAGGCAGATTTTGTTATCTTTTGGCAGAGATAGGCCAGCTGTTTCCCCCCATTTCCAGTCTTTGTGCTATGCTAAGCTAAGTGGTTGCTAGCTGTAGATTCATATTTACAGTACAGCCTTAAGAGTGGCATTAATCATTTCGCCTTACTCTCGACAAGAAAGCAGATAGGCGTATTTCCCAAAATGTCTAACTTTTCCTTGAAATCTACAATTCAAAAACCTAAAAAATTAAACAGTTAATTTACAGCCAATCTACAATTGGACCTTCTCAATCTAAAAAAAAATATGATGTGCCTGACTTTTGTAAAGACTGACTATAAAGATTTCTGTAAATTTAAACAGTCACAAATAAATACAAAGCACATTCCACCATTACAAGAGGTCAGAGATTTAATGAGCCATCCTTGTAGATAAGTACAACGGTAGCAGCATCTCCATATTGAAATGTTATAATTAGTGCCCACACTTAGTGTAGACCCAATTATTCTTGAACTTTGAGGTACTGTAGATTTTTTGTTTTTTAGTTTTTGAAGTTGCTTTTTTAATGTATTTTCATCCCTGTCAACACAACACTAACAGTAAGTAAGTGTAAGTGTATCATCAACGATGCAAAAAAAGTCTTACCATGTTTTGAGGTCTTGGTTCTTTCTCAACTGTTGGCGTTCCAAGTATTTCCAAAAGAACCTTTTGACATCTCATCTGTGATATTGATGATGGGTATTCCTCTGTGGAATAAAAGGTGATGGTTTACTCTCTCATCTTTATGCCACAGATTAAAATGTGCTTTACATGAGTCAGTATTTAGAAAAACAGCTTTGTAAATAATATAGCTATTATATATAATACAGCTTACTTGTACCCTTCTAATGGCACTTGCACTACTCCCTCATCCTCTGCCAAGATGCTCTGTTCCTCCTCCTGAAGGGAAATAAAATACAGCTTGAGTGTATGTAAATATTAATCAAAATGAATAAAAAAGAGCGCAACAGCACCTCTTCAGCATCCTCCAGCTTCTTCTTCTTGCTCTCTGGCATGAGGTCATCCAGCCAGCTTAACTCTCTCTTGGTGAAGAAACAGTCCATGAGCTTCCTGATAAACACCAGAGCCAACACCTGCAGAATTGACACAGAAAAACCTCTGAGTCCACAAAAACCCTTTGTCCTAAAAAGTATGCTGTGCTGGAGAGGTGGACGGATTTAAATTAATAGGAAGCAGACACAAGAGGTAGCAACCAGCAAATATGCAGAGCTGAACAGTGGCAGAAAGGATGAAGGACAAATCAGTTTATACCCTGAAGTACGAATGCAGATGAAGAAAAAGAGAAAGGAATAAGGAACATGTGCCTTTAGATAATTTACATCCAACTGATACAGTATGTTCAGTATGTATGTTCCATGTGTTAATTTGGAAGAGTTGAAAACATGGCTGGCAATGAGCAGAAAGCAATTTGAAGTTACTAATAAAGCTCAGAGAAGGCCAAAAAAATGTATCGCAGGGCCATGATAAATATAAACCTGCAAAACAGCTTATTATGTAAAAGTGCACATCTGGAAGAACCATGACAACAGGGATAAAATGTACCCACAGGCAAAAGTGTTCACACATTGTCTTCCTCTAATAACGCCAGCATTAATCCCAGTGTGGACAGGCGGTGCCCAGCTGACCCCAGTAACATACCTGCACTCTAATACCAAGCACTGTAAACACAACTAACAGGGCTAGCTGCTTGTGTAAGAGTCCTGCAGATCCTATAATTGGATTGTTTACATACCATCATAGGAAAGACAATGGCAGCCTTGGAGGTCTTGATGACCCAGAGCATAACCAAACAGCTGAGCTGGATGATGGTGAAGAGGTGCACCTTCCTCAGGGGTACGTGCCGTAGATAGATGAAGTCTGGCTGGTGCTTGGCTGGCATGCCGAACAGTGTCAGACGGTCAAAGAACTGGAGAGAATAAATGATAAAGAAATTCTTAAACTTCCAGTAACTTATTTGTTGGGCCACATGGGGGCAGCAAAAACAAGTTGTAAACACAACACTGATATGTCTATACCATTAACTAAAAGGAGCTGTATGCAACATTCAGAGCATGTCTATATTGAGAGTCTGAGGCAGGATTGCCTGCATATGGCTCTCAGCATGAGGTGGCTGAGCCGGCAGCTAACGGTGCTAAAGGCACAAACAGTGTTAACAACAGCAACAGTGCTGACAGAGCTAATGGTAGGGGAGCCAGGGGGGTGGGCACTACACTTTCACATAACTAACCACCATATGCGTGCAGTGTAGAGCGGCAGCAATTAGCTAGTCATCCAGCGGTTACAGAGCAATATTGTTATTCATTTGATGTCCACCTGTTTGATGTAAATCTAATATTCACTTTGTTTTAGCTCCATTTTTGGTTTCTACCAACTCCCAGGTAAAATATCTGGCTCATTAGCAGCTAAAAGCTCCACTATGTTCACCAGCTAATCAAACTGTGTCTATCTGTTGTTAGGTGATGAGCAGGTGCAGTGGGTTTTTAGACTTCCTGTTCATTGTCTTTTTATATCATTTTGGTAGAGACGTGTTGTATTTTGACAGATGGGGCATGCATATTTGCATAAAGCTGAATCTAGGGTATTTTTTGAAAATTAGGGGCATCTGGCATGACTCACTACCTCTGGAAACTCCAAAAACTTTGAAACTAACCATTGTCAGTCCAAAATAAAGAGAGACTCAGCAACTGCATGGCCTATGTCTTGCCTCAAATGATTTTGAAGATACATTTCAGTGAGCTATTTTTGTAATATAAGAGAAAGCTGTCAAACATGCCACCATGGTGGTCAGGTTTGAAATTGAGGAGCAGACAGCCCACATGCCTAGTGCACGTCTGGTGCTGGGAAGTCACGTAGCTCTTCACGTCTAAAAATGCCCCTGTGGACATGTACCATATGATGAGAGGTGATTGTGACAGTAAACAGTAAAGTTGCAGGCCTGGCTGCTAAACAATAAACTGAAACTTGCTATGAAACCCTGCAATGTACACACATGTGACGTAGAAGGGTTTGTAAATGTGAAAAACCACAGAGAACAATCCTCCAGCTCTGCAGCTTTTTAGCTTCTCTGAGGTAATTATTTTGGCAGCCGTTTTAAACAAAAAGCTTTTAGAAAGTGACTCTATACCACCTCCTCAGCCTCAAACAGCAAACACAGACATCACGCTAAAAGTTGCTTTGTGCCAGCAAAAGCTGCGCAATGAAGTTCTTTTGCTCCAAAAAGTATTTGTCTAAATATAATTATTGTTTTCAAAACCAATAATAGAAAGTACTTCAAAGTGAAGAAAAGAAGAAGTAAACGGGGCAATTAAAGAACAGCCAGGTGTTCTGTAAATGGTGGGAACACACTAGAGGCCAATTAACACTTTTTCTCTGGGCAGCCAGACAATATGGAGGCGACCCCCTATCATGGCTCAGTGAGAATTAGCAGTCTATACAGATTATCCGGTAGGCGCCTCTACAAATTAAAATTTAACTACGCTGGCCAACTGTCTTTCTAATCTCAGCGATGTGGATAATCTCAAAACATTTTCATATTTGCAACTTCTGCACAAGTCCTATGTTGTGTACTAATCACACTTTAATTTTGAGCGGTTAAGACAAACAGAGAAACAAAAAAAAAATCCTCTATGCAATATAACATTTACTGTTATATGCTATAAACTTTGAACATCAGCTGCTCAGATTTACTCATATCAAACGTCATATTAAAGCAATGTCGCATCCTTGTGTTGCCTGTTAGTAATACATTATAATGTGAGCAAAAAAGAAGCAATAAGTACAGTTAAATTTTACCTGAATGCCTCTGAGAGACGATGCTCCCATGTAAAGGAATACTCCATACAACACAGGCATCGGAATGAACTGGAGAACAATAAAAATGTTATGTCAGTAACACAATTATATTTTAGCAGACCTGCTGCACTCAACAATTTACTACACATGGATGAAAATGCACAAATAATAAAAAGACAGTGTCTGACCTTCAGCACGGATGTCATGAAGACAGAGCAGCCCATGAGAGTGAAGATCATGAGGCCGGTGAAGCGTTGCTCTCTGATGCCGAGGAACTTGGGCTGCTCCCCAGGAGCTGAGCACTCGGACTCAAGCTTCAGGCTGTTGACGTGGGTGATGGAGAGAACGGTGGCTGCTACAAACCAGGGCAAGCCCATCACTGAGCACACACCGAGCATCAACCCCACCATGAACAGATCCAGGTGGTACCCACAGCCTTTCTGAAGGGGAAATGCATCACTAAATAAAGCTGAAGATGATCAAATTTTAAAGCACATTCCAAAATGCTAAATGAATGTCTACAACCAGATTTCAGAGGTCAGACAGAAAAGTACCTTGAGTTTATGTTCTTTCCTGTTGATGATGACAGCTGTGATCTGCTGGTCCATGAAGATGAGGATGGTGCAAAGCAGAGCTGGTACCACTGAGATGACTGCGGTCCACCAGGGGTTGGGTCCCAGTGGGTTGATGAGCCAACCTCGATCATCTCTGGTTGGCTGATAAAACAAAAAACAAAAGATTGTTGATGTTTAGACAAAGCTTGTTGAAAAAGTACAATGTTGTGCAGCAATTGGTTGATAAAATCTCTTCTGTAGACTTGCTCACCTTAAACACGCTGGGAACCTTTAGTTTTGGAGAGGGGATCCCCAATGCATAGTCGATTAAGACCATGGTGAGGATGGTGAAGAAAACAGCAAAGTCACTGATGGTGGATCTCACCTGATAGAGAGGAAACATGTTAAAATGACTCCGTTTTTTTTATTATAGTGTACAGTACAGTACAGTACAGTGTACAGTGTACATGAAGACAAAGGGGCTACAGGAAACAACAAATTTCCTTGCTCCTATCATGCAGTACCTACATTTGGCCACTAGAGTGTACCACTGCACTTTGCAGCTGCATTAGCTTTGTCTCCATCTATGCTTGGATCACAATGCAGTCTCATGTAATAACAATGTATGAAGAATAAGTACCTTTGTGGGAAAATAATTGCTGAACTTGAACTCCTTGAGGAAAGCAGACATGAAGACGGTGGAAAAAAAGAGAATGACACACCAGAAGAGGACATCAGGGACGTAGGGTCCCTCGGGGCCACAGGCGCTGCCCACAAACTCCCCACGCTTCTCAATACAGTCCTGGAACAACAGGGAAGGGTTATTCATACTCATCATATGATTGGCAATACACCAGAGTCAGAAGGTTTCCACGAATGAGCATCCATGTCCACAAAAACTTAACCGTGTACAAAAAATGTGCTTTTATAGTGATTTGCAATGAGTAATCCAATATAATCCAGCCCACATGCCCTTAATCTCCTCTGTTCAGCTTCCTCCATCTGGGAGAGCATGCCACTTTAAGGTGTAAAACCTAAATCCACAGTTTTCTTTTCAGTTTATCTTTGTGTAACTCAATAATGCCTGCTGTGGTGTGTACGTATACACTCTCCATGAGTGACAGATTTGTTTCTGTCTCTAATGCTTTCTTTTATTTTTTGCTACGATTTTAAAGTCGGCGCGGGTAGCACCTTAACCTCCAGTGCTTCCCAGTAGATTTCTGAGGCAGTGACGTTGGTGAGCTCCCAATACTTCAGGGTGCCATTGGTGGGGTCAGAAGGCTCAACGCATGAACATCTGTGGAGGCACATGAACATCTGGGTGACTCAGTAATCCCTCATCTGTCAGGGATTTACAGTACCTCCAAGAAATGCACTTAGTAATTACACTTTTTTCACTTCCAACAGGATATTGTGTGAGAATAAGTGTCCACGTACAAGTACATGGTGAGTTTTTCCAGGTTGTTGTTCTTGTTAAAGGGATAGTGCACTCCCAGGTGGACGAGTTTCTCCAAGGCCTCGTAGATGAAAATGATGCAGATGAGTGAGGCGAAGGCTTCTTCCGTAAAGCGTGTGATGTAACAGACGAGGGAACTTGCGTCGGTAGCCACCAGCATAATACAGAGGACAGCTGTCCACAGACCAATACAGGTTCTCAGAGACAGGTAGGACAAGCCATACTCCCTATGTGGAGAATAACGGGGAAAAATCAGTGTGAGACGGATCAAGCTACATTGTATATTGATTATTTAATATTTATAATGTAGTGAATTGGAGGAAGTCATTAGCGCAGTGAGATTAAATGGCCTTTTGTCCATACAATCAGAGCATTTAATGGTCTATAGGGAGGACAGATGTTTCATTGATGTCCGTAGAAGTTACCCAACAGCAAGCTGATAAACATCAGACAATGCAATTACACAGTTATGCAATGTATAACGCACAGTCACATGCAAAGAAAACATACTTGCAGAATTTGAACAATATCTTTTCAAACACGAGCACCGGCCCCGTGCTGCCCAGAATGGTGAGGGGCTGCCCTGCAAACAGGGAGTAGGCTATTCCAGTCAGTGAGGCTCCGAACAGCGACTCAATCGCACTCTGGGGGAATGGGACAGGACAGAAAGATTAATGATGGATAGTTACCTTTAAAATCTTAACCATACTGAACCACAACTGTCATCTGGTTTAATGTACTGAAAGGCTAGTACAGTGCACAGCAGTGTACAGCGAGTCTTGGCAGAACACTGTGAACATTTAGAGGAAAGGTCACGTGATTTACTATGCGTCCTTCTGTTGCCTCGCCCAGTAGTCCTCCAAAGGTGATGACAGGGGACATGCAGGCACAGTAGAGGAAGAGGAAGGAGGCCACACACTGTAAGCTAAAAGCATCAGTGTAGTCGGACAGGTAGTGCGGTGCCTTGCGCTTGATGTCTAGAATGAGACCACCAAACCACCTGGAAATGTAAAAGGGAAATGTCACTTGCGTAACTTCTTCACATGTGATTTTTTTTTGTTTTCAAAAGCATAACAGATACTCCTTTTTTAAAAGTGGAGTATAAATGAGTTTTTATTTTGCTTTATTCTCTAAAAAAGTGCTAAAACTATTATTTTTCTTCTTCCTTTAGTTGCAACCCTCGTCTGCCTTCTTCCCGGTGTTCAACTCTTGAGTGTGGCCTGGTGTGATAGGCCCCTAACGACAGAAAAATCTAGCTGTGAATAGACCTCTCCAGGCAGGATGTTTCTATGGAAACCACTTTATAGCTACAACTACAGACCAAGTTTACCCAGAAATAGCCGAGCAGCATGACAGTGTACATTTTGTAAACTGATATTGACTTCATTTTAGTCTCAGTACATTTTGCACAGATTATACTAAGTATAATATATGCTGTCAAATTAACCCAGGAGCAATGTAATGTTGTATTGTACAAATAATATTGTAATTTATTTGCATTATTTATTGTCCTAAGTCAGCATAAGCATACTTTCTATTATATATATATTAAACATCATCACCTCTAGGCACTGAAAATATTCTTGAATAACTCACTGGAAGAAGCATGTATATAAAATTCCATACCATAATTAACTGCACTCCAGGCTCCCTCTAAGTTCATTTCTATACGTTGCAAAACATATTAAAATAAATGCAGTGTTGTGTGAAGCTCTGGAGGCGGACGAGTCTGATTGTAAATAGATTCTCTGCAACAAAGTAGTGAGCATAGTGAGTGGGCTGCGTGCTGGACTGCTTGAGGAAGAGGAGCGCTGCATATTCAGTTTAGTATGAGGCACTTATTTATTTATTTAATAAAATATTTCTTCAACTCTGTGTTAAAAAACTTCACACTATTCTACTGCTGATCAAAATTCACTCTAAACAAAAGCACTGCCTGTTCTTTCCCAACCTTCCAGTACGCTGCAGCTCTGGACCCCCGTGGCCACCCTGCTCCTCCTCTTCATCTCCTTCAACTAATCCGTTTGGTAAAATGTTACTTTTCTTCCTCTTCTCCTGTTAAACAAACAAGTTTTTTTGTCATGTACAAAATCTTAAGAGTCACGTGAAATCTTAAAGAGAAGAAAAGAAGGCATCAGGCATCAGACAAATTCCTACTAACTTGAGAGGGCACATTTTTTGGTGGCTCTATCCGTATGGATGGGTCCCACTCTCCCGGAGGCAGGACTGTCACTTGATCGAGGAATTCATCGATTCCAGCAATCAGATCATTGCGGTCTTTTGCTTTATAGGCAACATCATGGAAAACCTGGAAACACAGAAATAGGGAAGGCTGATTAAAAAAATACTCATCTTCCAAAATGATAATTTGTACATCAGTGAACTCGTAAACCTAACTTTGTTTTCTCCCACGTCTCCTTGGTGAACAAAGAATCCAAAAAGTGGAGAAAATCCTTGATGAATTGAAGTGATAGCAGACGTGTTTAACAACAGCAAAACATCTGTTTGCAGACTTTCACACAACTCATGCACTATAATCCAAGTCTCATTTATCCAGTCGTATGCTCAGTGCCTCCCAAACAGACAGCCCTTTCCGACTCGGAACTGACTTGAAGTTGAAACTTATCTATGCTCCTTTCAAAGCCAGACTTTATTGATGCTGACAGTGACACTGACATTTTACCTGGCTGAACACAGGAGCTGCTGGTTCTACTGCTGCCTCCATCAGTAAGTTTGTGCTGTTGTGCGACTTTGCTGAATCTGAACTAACCCTTTAAAACACCAAAGTCACACAATGACACAAACCAACTGATGGAGGCAGTGGTAGACCAGCAGCTCTCATGTTCAGTGAGGTAAAATTACTGTTTTTGTCAATGAAGTCTGGCTTCGAGGAGAGCATAGACAAGTTTTACTTTTAGTTCAGGTCCCCGTTAGAAAGGGCTGTCTGTCTGGGAAGTACTGAGTATACGACTGGATAAATGAGACTTGGATTATACAGTACATGTTGTGTGAGAGTCTGTAAAGTGATGTTGTGATATAGTGTTGCTGTTAAATGCATCATTTTTGGATTCTTTGTTCAACGGAGGCATGTTAGAAACACATCTTCTTCACAAATTCAACATAACACAAGTTAATTAGTAGATGTACAAATGATCATTTGGTGGGGTGAAGTATTTCTTTAAGGCTGCACTTCTGACTCAGACCTTAAGTGATTGCACATACAGTGCAGCATGTGCACTGTCAATGAAGTGGCATTGAGTGGCATCTTGCAGTGCGGACTGCACACTGCAACCAGCTGAAACTTCACCTGGATATAATTTTGTCAGTGTTCATTGTTCAGTGGGTTTTAGTGGGAGCCAAATTATCTGCAGAGGTCTCCTCCTCGCCACAAGAAACGGACCAGGTGATATTTAACTGGCAAGAACATTGAATGAAGCAGTTTCATGTTGAAAAAAATCTTCTTTTTCCAACCTTCTTGTCGTAGAGGGGCTGCTAACTGAGGTGCAAATGGCCCTATCTAGAGCCAGCATTACATTGTCCAATCTGGGCTACCGTAGAAACATGGTGGTGCTACATGGCCATCTTCCTATACAGTTCTTATTTTCAGGTCACCATACTCTAAAGCAGTGGCTCCCAACTGGTGGGTCGCGGTTCAAAAGTGGGTCATGGGTCCATTCTGAATGGACCACATGAGACTTGGAATCATTTCAAGTTTGTAAAAACACACTTTATTTCGAAGTACAGTGAATTTCTGGCACAGAGCTTTTATTTTAGAGTGCCATTTTCTGGTGTAGAGTGAAAGACTTACAGACAACTACTTGACAGAGACAGCGAACTAGCTTGGCTGCATGGCCAAACACAAGTATGATGCTGAATGGATTAAACTGCTTGGACCTTGAACTAAGGACTAAGTAGAAATCTGGACCCTGTGGCTGGACCAGTTGCAAACCACTGCTCTAAGGAAAATATATTTATTATAATATATTCCATCTCTGCCAATACATCCCCCTGAATCCTACAAAGTGGAACTTTACCTAACCCCATGTAAATATGCAGAAAACACCATACAAACATAGGACCTGCTCACTATGACACAACAGTGTTAATCACTGACTCACAACGCTCCCCTATAAAATATCGAGTTTCATCAAATCTACTCATTCCAATTCTCAGTATATAACAAAGTTTGGATTTTGTCAAAGCCCATCTTTTCCTCCTCAGTGATGATGGATTGCAGCCTAAATCCCAGACAAAAAGGAGGACATGAGGTCTGACTAATCGCCAAAAGCATGTCATAAAAGCTCTGAGCTGTGTTTCATGCTGAGAAATGTTCCATCACTTCAGGAATTTGTTGAGTTCTGCTGGACTGTGAATTTATGCAAAGTGCCTGCAGAAAATCTGAGCATGACATCTGGTTGACATTCAAAACAATCCACACTCTTCAAAACATTAATGCATAAATAAATCGTGCAAGATGCTAACATGGTAATGAGGTGTTCTTCAGGGAATTCTTACCTCGTCTGTCATTAGCGTTGCAATGGACCTCCCGATCTCATGATACTGAGGCGCTCTACCCATGGGACCTAAGAGAATAAACAGAAACCTAAAGGCAGAGACAGATTTTGTTTAATACATTGTCAAATCAAATCTCAATCAGAATTATCTAACTGAGTATCAGCCAGGGTTCAGCTGGGCAAATAAAAGATATTTATAGCTTATGGAACTGGTTTAGTTGAATCAGCCTGCAGTGACCTTGTGGCGATTGGGACTTCAGCCAGCCCACTGAGTATGACCGCTGGTGAAAGGCGGACAAATGCCACCACGGGCTTGTTCAGAAATTCCAGCTCTCCCACCAACACGTTACACGCCTCGGCCCCCGCCGGGATCTTCTTCATGAAATGAAGGTCTATCTGAAAGAGGACACAAAGTACAGTGTTTAGTGTATCATATAAAAGGCCTTGACGCTCTTTCTGCTTTGCTTATTGTCTAAGCTGCTTTGACTGTGAGCGTGCTTTGATACGTTAAAAAAATAATTCATGTTCGAAAGTGCATTCTATAAATAAGTCATTTTTGTTGCTGCCTCACATTAAGCTCTAAATAAAATGTTTAGACTGAATTCTAGTCTAAATATAGTCCAGCAGCTGTCCAGGCTTTGTGTATCATAGGACATGATATTTAAATAAGTCGCAGATGTGTTACAGGAGCAAAAAGATCACAAAAGATTATGAAATATGTATGTTAGTCTGAACTGGGATGGGGTATCTTTCATTTCCCACAAGAATGACCTCGACTACGAAACTGATCCTCCTACAGCAGCTATATCTGCTTTACACTCTTTAATGCAGTGGAACTGCATTGTACAGAATTTTTTTTGGAACATTAAAGGTGCTAATTTTTCAGCGATAATTATGTAGAGTTGACAAGTGGTGACTGAAGTGTTGTTTGTTCCATCATAGAGTTCATGTGGCTCTAGGGCGACCATCCAAAAGAATATCTGTGATGTATTAATGGGTCATGACTTCCATAAACACTGTTACTGTGCTGATTTTTTAAGTCTCGCAGTTAATACTCATTATTTTTGCTGTGCACATCAAGGAAATGATAATATGTGGAATATGCAGCTGCTGCAAAGGGGGGATTTTGATTGCAGCTGTGTTCATAAATAAGGTACCATGTGGATGTTTCTGTACATTCAATTCAGCTGTTCTAAAAATACACTCACATAAGCCGAGTGCATTTCGTTAATGTTTAAATGAACAGGGAAAAGCATGAAAGAGTTATTAACAATGCTGACCTGGACAATAGGTTAAACTCCTTTACATTATGAAGGAGGGTTCAACATAGATTTTATCTTAGTCTTTGCTGTGTGTGGTTGTCATGTGGTTGTAATACTTAACATGGTTATAATCCTAATCCATTACTAGGTGACCTTTCCATTAAGAATACCAACAATGAACTCCTGTTCATTGTTCGAAACACACAATTAAACAACAGCCTACTGCATATTTGTCAAATATGACGTCCCTTTAATTATAATTTGATTATTAGTTTTATTTAAGTTAACCCATATTTAACAAGGTAAGTCCCATTCAGATCAACAATCTCTTTAACAAGGGAGATCTGGCCAAGACAGCAGCATACAAAAGAGTTACAGCCAAACAACCACACAATAAAAACAGAGAAGATATACAGTAACATGTGGAAATAATAGAACACCTGTGCACAATGATAATGACCCAACTGACTCATTCATCCTTGTACTTATGAGAGTTTTAGAGTCAGTTAGAGAGCTTTCTTTCCCAGTTCAGTCTGTGCACCAGGAACAGACAGCTGAACTGCATCTTGAGATCTCAGACTACAGTCAGATCTCTGTTCAGTCAAAGTAGAAATGTACGAAGGGAGTTTACCCCAGTGTCAGAATTTGAGGTAGATTTGTCAAGCCATGTTTCTGATAAAACAATTACATCAGCATCAGTAGAAACAGCCCTGATTCAGATAAAATATAACTTCTTTTTTTTTTAAGATTATTTTTTGGGCTTTTTTTGCCTTTAATTGACAGGACAGTGTGAAATGGGGAGTGAGAGAGAGTGGGGGGGATGACATGCAGCAAAGGGTTGCAAGCCAGAATTGAACCTGTGACCGCTGCAGTGAGGCATCGCCTCTATACATGGGGCGCTGGCACTATCCACTACGCTACTGACGCCCCAGCTTTTTTTAAAATACTGTGCACATTTAGGTGAATAAAGCCCAACCCAGACCGTGCTTTAAAGTCAGCCAGTCTATCAATCTGGCTGCATTTTTGGGACCCAGGTTTAGCTGCACGTGACCTGATAATAGTAACAATGATAAAATTAAAAACCTTCTCTTTAAAATAGTCACAAAAGTCAGATGTAGAGTACTCAGAGCTCAAGAAGCTCTAATAAAATGAATCCCTTTTGACATTAATGCAAGATCCTTTACATAAGTAAAAGTATTAATACATATTAAATTCAAGTGAACTGCCAGCATTTATGATGACACGTAAGAAAAGTAGTCTATTTTTACTATATGCAAATTATATCAAAATTTCAAAGGTACTGATTTTGCAGAAAAATTGCCCCAGTGACAATTATATATTATAATATGGTATTATTGTTATTGCTGATGCATTGATGTGTAGGCAGCACTTTATTGTTGCAGCTGTTAGAGGTGGAGCTTATTCTTATAACTTAATATATTTTCAGGTGTTTTAAGATGATCTGCATTGGTGGAGGAAGTACTCAGATGTTTTTCTTAAGTAAAATTAGTGATACCACACTGTAAAAATACTCTGTTACAAGCAAAAGTACAAAAGCATTAGAATTAAAAAATACTTAAGGGTACAAAAAGTAAAGTAGACCTACTCATTATGCAGACTTGCCTATTTCAGAATAAAATATATCATATTATTGGATTATAATTATTAATAAATAATCTGTACATAACTTTAATGCTGCAGCTAAAGGTGTGATTGTGAAGTACTTTATTAGTGGGTTTATATTTTGGTATTAATAATTTGAAACTGTAAATTATCAGATAAAGGTAGTGGAGTAAAAAGTACAATATTTCCCTCTGTAGTTGATGTAGAAGTATAGAGCAGAAAGTACCTCAAAACTGTACTTCCTTTAAGCCTCTAATAATGTTTTGTTTTAACAAAAATAAATATTGCTGGTTTTGTGGGTTCATAAATGAGAATTTGATGCTTTTCTTTGTCATACATTTTAATAAACTGCATAGCTTTGGATTTTTGAGCCGCTGGTCAGATAAAACACACCATTTGAAGATGTCATCTTGGGCTGTGGGAAATTACACAGAGCATTTTTCAGTTTTCTGACATTTATTGATATTTATTTCTTGATCGAATAGTCAAGAAAATAATTGGCCAAGGTCAAGGTCAAGGTCAAGGTAATGGATTACGAAATGGAAATTAAGATAAATGTTCTGGTATTATGCAGATGACTGAGAAGCGCAGTACACTATGTATTACAGTGTATCTGCACAGTGTGTGTTGTATACCTTGCTGAAGTCCACAGAACTGTTCTCTCTGCTGACGTCCCCTTTCCCGTCTGGACCCGCTAACTGAGACTGCGAGGCCATCATCTGACCTGGATAATCCAGACAGCAGAATTATGAATGACTTCCAAAAATGTGTGAACATTTCAGCACCCGATGATTCCAATACATACAATGAGACTGAGCGAGTATACAGAGAAACAGGCGTGAGTATCACCCACATAGATCAAAGAGGACAACATTTACCGGTGCTACTGTGGATACAACCACAAAGATTTTCATTTCTGTTGTCTCAAAAAAACCCAGGCTCATTTTAACATGATTACTGCCAAGCTGCCTGACAGGTCTGGCCTAATTTCTGTATTCATTAAACAGCAGGGTCAAAAATTAACACTAATTATAGTGTTTAATACGCTCACAAAGCATGGCGTGGAGCTTATCAGAGATTGCTGCTTTGAAATAAGCTCAAAAATGCCACACCACTGAAATTAAATTACGAGAAAATGATTTAACAAACAGTTTGGTGTGTTCTGCGTAACTAATTTTGTCATGTGAAATTCTGGCAAACCTGGAGCTTATAAAACGTATTTGGCAAAGATATAGGCAAGTAATGCTTCCAATTACAAGCCTGTCCTGGACTAAATTTAGCCCAGAATACAACCAAATAGTTCTTGTGCTGTGAAGATCAACAGCAAACAAATTATCGTATTTATAGATCGTACTTTTGCACATTGTTTTTTAATCTTCTTTTAAACTCGACCACTTCAACCCAACAAAAACAATCTATTTTGAGTTGCCAGTATCAGCACGAACCATGAGAATATTTCCCTCTACAATATGTTTTTTTAAAGTATAAGCTGGTATAGGGACGAGGGCATACTGTGTAAACCAACACCTGCTGACTTCAGAGGGGCTGTGGCAGGTGGGTGGGCAGATGGTGGGTGGAGGATAGAATCAGGAATGAACATAAGCAAGTTAAGACCATATGCATATAAGGCACATGCACATATTGCATACTCACAAAGTACCTACACTTAAAGGGACAGTTCACCCAAAAATCAAAAATACATATTCTTCCTCTTACCTGTAGTGCTACTCATCAGTCTAGATTGTTTTGGTGTGAGTTGACTAGTGTTGGAGATATCAGCCGTAGCGATATCTGCCTTCTCTTAAGTATAATGGAACTAGATGGCACTCGGCTTGTGGTGCTCATAGGGCCAAAAATACATTTGAAAAACTCAACAGTAATGTCTATTTACAGAAGTCATGACCCAGTTACTCAAGATAATCCACAGACCTTGAAGTGAGATGTTTCATGTAGGAACTATTTTCTTTCTACCAAACTACAGCCGTCAACCTTATGACATTGCAGAAGGAAGCATGTATCTTACTAATGGATGAGAGTCTTGTGCTTTTTTTGGGAGGCATTTGCCTTCAGTGCTTTCTGACAGAAAACCTTTTCTTGGTTAGGTTTAAGTAAAAGATCATGGTTTGGGCTAACGTGAACAGATTTCTGTCAGAAAGCCCTGAAGGCAAACTTTGCTCATGTGCAGCTCATGCTTCTGACAGCACAAGATGTGACCATAAGCTGTAATGTTAGCTAGCTCAGTGGTGCCACGGAAAAACAGTAATTTATATTATATATCAAGAAAGGTTTTTGTAAGATAGATATGTACTAATTACTATTACAAACATATACATGGGTTATTTTTGTGTGACAAAATTATAAGGTAATAACAATGGTATGGCACAGTGGTGCAGTGATTAGCATTGTTGCCTCACAGCAAGAGGGTTCATGGTTCGATCCCGTGTCAGCGTGGGTTTTCTCCGGGTACTCCGGCTTCCTCCCACAGTCCAAAGACATGCAGGTTAATTGGCGACTCTAAATTGTCTGTAGGTGTGAATGTGAGTGTGAATGGTTGTCTGTCTCTATGCGTCAGCCCTGTGATAGTCTGGTGACCTGTCCAGGGTGTACCCTGCCTCTCACCTAATGTCAGCTGCGATAGGCTCCTGCCCCCACATGACCCTCAAGAGGATAAGCGAAAATGGATGGATGGTTTATACTTGTAAGCCTTGGATAAATGGTAATTTATATTTTATACCAAGAAAGGTGACCCCTAACAGGATAAGTTACAGAAAATGAATGAATGAATGAATGAACCATGGTATATTTAGAAAAGTCTTAGGTATAGGTTTATCTATATAAGGAAGCTGTCTATTTCATTTCAGTTAGTAACTTATGGAGAAGGGGTGGGATATAATAAGTTTATACTTCCTCCCACTCCTTTTTGAATGTGTTAATCAAATTAACTATACATTGACAATTCCTTATCATTATTTGTAAATGCATTTTCTTTGTTTCTGTCTGTCTGCTTGTTTGTATGTTCAAGTCTTTATTTTTTTTTTTTTTTTTTTACATGTTTGAAATAAATATCAAATCAATTATCTTGAGTAACCAGGTCATGCCTCCTGCAAAGAGACATTGCTGTTGAGTTTTTCAAATGTATTATTTTGGTGCTTTTAACACCAAAAGCCAAGTGCCATCTAGTTCCATTATATTAGAGAGAAGGCAGACATCTCTACGGCTGATATCTCCAACTCTCGGCAACTCACACCAAAACAATCTAGACCTACCGACCACATTCACGACTGAATCCAGGAAAGCAGTGGTTTCCAGCCTTTTTGATTTGGACCCCTTCTCACACTGTGCATATACAGTAGTATGCAAGCAGCAATCTCCTGGGCTGAAAGATGAAGCCAAAAGTGCCAAAAAAACTGCAGTTCTCTGAATGGCCACTTGAGGCTGGCTCCAGAAGCAAGTCAGTCTCCATAGACCCCCATGTTAGAATGCCCAGTTTCATAGCATAAATAAACAAGTTTGCAGCCTGGCACAAAAAATGGTTTTGGTGTCTAGAGCCAATTTCAACACTCCTGACAGCTGTACAGACGATGAATTTTCATCTACTAAGTCGTAAAGTTACGCATAATTTGGGTACGCACTTTGGGTGGCTGGCAATCTGCCAACGGTGATTTCAGTTTCTCTGTCAGATTTACCCTTTCATCCAAATACGGTCACTTCTGGCTCCAAAAAAGTAAAATGGCAACAGCTTAATTGCCGAACTCGAGGCTTGAAAACGGGACTTCACAAACCAATGGTTGATGTCATGGTGGCAACGGTGGATTTTGATAGTTCTGGTTTTCTCACCATTCTTGTCCAGGTGGAGCTCTGATGCCCGTCGACCCATGTCAGCAAGGGAGCGTACAATGGGCAGGCGATTAGCAAGCTTCTTTTGGTTCTGGTGATGGTGCTGCTTCAGCAGTGTTTCGCGCACTTTCTGTCGGAGCTCATCTCCCAGTGGTGAGTATAACTCCTGGTGGTCCAGGACCATGTCTAAGGTAGACACAGAAAAGCTATTTGTATTCAGAGATTCAGGGCTCTAGCTGACTTGAATTTAACACCAAGAATGAGTAAGGAAACATTTACTATAGTGAATTAAACAAATGAAAGGAGCACAAAATCTGTCCGTCTCATTACAGTCATTACCTGCAATCTCTTCAATGGTATTGGCCCTCATGTCGAGCAGCACAGTGCTGTTAATGATGCAGCTTCGCAGCTCAAACAGGCTGTGTAGAGACAGCGTGGCTACGTAGGGTTTACTCCACCGTTCTCCTCCGTCCTCCACATCCTCCTCAAACTTCAGCCACCTGTAACAGGAGTTTGAGAACCAGTCAGGATAGAGGCCAGCAGATGGCAAACTGGCCAGCCATCTGTTCAAGCTGCGATAACAACACTCGTTCATTCCGGGTCCCTCTCTCCTCACATTTAACTCCTTTACCCCCCTTCCTGATCGCCTCTCATCAGGGTAGCGCTATAAATAAAATATGTCTGATTCACCATTTTAACAGAGAAGACCAGAATTCATTTGATAAATAAATTCATCTTGATTAACATTAACAGATAGAAACAAAAAGTTAATTCCCAGAGCAATTCCAACAATGAATTGTGATTACTTAATGTAATGGAAACACAAACATGAGACACACAGCTACATCTCTCATCAGTGTAAGTGGAGTCATGGGCATGACTGCTCCATTCAATCAGAGCTTTCAGTAATGACATGTGGGTCATGACTGTGTATAGATGCTGCGTTAATGACATCACAGTCTCGCAGTACCTGGCACTTTCCCTCCACTCAGAATCCTCTCCGTCTTTAACACAGATTTCATCCATCTCTGTGAAAAGGTCATGAGGAATATGCTCTTCGTCATCATCCTCAGTGCCCAGCAGGAACTGCACTCTCTGGGAGGGAGTGTCTGGGAACAAAAGAGATTGCACTAAGTGGTTCAAACTGAAATGGTTATATCTAAAGGGGAAACACTACTATGAATTGGGTAAAACTTTCAACTGATAGATATCACCATGAAACATCCCCAGATGATTACACCAGGACAATTATTTTTTGTTTTACAGGTACCATAAAACTTCCATTAAAAGCCTGGTCCCAATTAAACGCCTGGTCCCTTTTACTAGCCCAGTGTGGCTACACATTTTGACAATCAAACACCTGGTCTGGTTGCTGAGTGGTTCAGTGTTATAGAAGTTCTCTGGATGTATAAAACTAGGTTGTTGGTTACCCACCTGTGCTAACATTATGTGTCAATATGGAGATGCTACATATTGTTAGTTCGGTTAGATTCTCCACAATTCAGTCCTTCAGGTCATTTTACAGAAACCATGAGCAGCAAAGAATAATTCATTCAGATTTACTGGCCTGGTAAACAATAGAGATGAACAAAAAAGGTGGTCACTCCCGACCTCTGACGCCATAATGAAGTCAAATTATGTGTCCATTCATCAATTACCCATTAAGTTCTTTGTATTTCTTTAGTCTGTAAAAGTCCTCAGATCAAAAGAATCAAAAGGGTTTAATCCAAGTTTTCTATATTGCTTTCACAGGATAAAGTGGTGTTGCGTCTGTATGCTGTAATCCTGGGGTGTTATAACACTCCTGTGAACACCTGTCTGTCGGAGCTAGATCAAATGAATGATTCAGAATTAATATGTTATCTGAAGCCTAATCTTTATACGAGTAATATTCATAATGGTTCAAATAAACAATTCAATTTTATTCCCCATCTTTGCTGAGCAACAGTTTTGTGTAAAAGGAATTAAAGACGCCTGTCCCAAATATAGGCCCATTGAGTTCAGCGATTTAAGTAAATAAAAGCGCAGGCTACTAATTGCAGTTTTACAGTACTCTGAAATTCTATGTTTAAATATGCAAATGAGGCATTGTCTAATTAAATATTCCCTTTTTGCATAGATACACAGAACAGAAATTGGAATATTGGATTCGGCCAGGTTCAAATGTGTTGCTTCCTTTTGTTGATCAGAGACAATTTAGGATTTTCTTTTATCACCTGTTAAGTCAGGGAATACTTTCAAAAGCCATAAAAATCAATTTTTTCATACATCAGGCTATGAATGACACATGGACAAACTCCGCCGTAATATCCATCAGGATATAGATAAAATTGGAAAGTCTGGTGTAAGTAGTGCTACTGGGGTGGAGATTTGTGATTCAAAGTATGAGAAAAAAGTGATTTTCTTTAAAGGTACATTTGGTAAAAATTTGGTAAAATCCCATACAATTATTAAGACAAAAAAAACACTACGGGTGAATAAGGTAAAATGTAATCAATAAATATTGTTATGAAACTTCCCCAGTTGTTTACTTGCATTAGGACAATTGTTTTTTGCATTACAAGTTTTTTGAAATTTTGTTTAAATACAGGGCCGCACGGTGGGTGGTTATTACTGTCGCCTGAAGAGGGTTGCCGGTTCGATCCCGGGTGTGGGAGCCCTTCTGTGCGGAGTTTGCATGTTCTCCCCGTGTCAGCGTGGGTTCTCTCCGGGCACTCCGGCTTCCTCCCACAGTCCAAAGACATGCAGGTTAATTGGTGACTCTAAATTGTCCGTGGGTGTGAATGTGAGTGTGAATGGTTGTTTGTCTCTATGTGTCAGCCCTGTGATAGTCTGGCGACCTGTCCTGGGTGTACCCTGTCTCTCGCTCGATGTCAGCTGGGATAGGCTCCAGCCCCCCCGCGACCCTCAAGAGGATGAAGTGGTTAGAAAATGAATGAATGTTTAAATACACAAACTAATTAAATATGCACCTTTGCATAAATGTATAGACCAGAAATCTTAACTAAAATAACCTTAATATGTATTTTGGATGTTTTCTTCCAACTAGTCTGAATGAAGACACGTTATGGAAGCAAAACAGCCCAACATCCCAGAATGGACCAGTGCATAAGAATTATGTTTTCGCCTGTAAGTATGTAAGAGAACATGATCAAAGGTAGAAATACTTTTTAGTCTCAATGCTATAATGCATGCAAGTACATGATTGTAGCTCGTACCATAAACAGGAGACTCTCTACCCTCCACCAAGATGGGGGCCCGTTCCCTGCTCTTTTTCCTGTGTTTGTTTCCATGGTGATGGTGCCTGCGATGGCTGCGGTGCCTGGTACTGCCCAGGGGGACGTGGACCCCGATGTACAGAGTCCTGTGGCCTGGGGACACATCGCACAGCTGTTAGAACACTGCAAAGAGCCTGTGTGTGTGTGTGTGTGTGTGTGTGTGTGTGTGTGTGTGTGCGTGCGTGCGTAAGCATAGATAATCATTATATTTTCAGTGATCACCATTAAGCACTGCTTCTTTGTGTTACTCCATTAAGCTTTATGTTATCTATCACAGGGTTTCTGCTACGTCCTGAGTGTTTTTATTGTGATGAAGTGCACTGCTCATGCAGATAATACATAATAATGCTTACTGCTGCTATATAATGTACCATGCCACGTTGAGCAGCAAGTTAATACCACCTGTCATGTTTGTACAATGAACATTATCAGAAAAAGGCTGCTTTAATAGTCTAGGTCATGAATAATCACCTTGTTCCCAATTATAGGTTAAATAAAAGAGGACATATCATGATCTCCTTCAGGTCCATGCAGATACAGTAAATGCTCTGACCATAATACTTGGTGCATTACAACTGGGCCTGAATTAGGGATCTTTTACTGACAAAAATAAATGCATGAATAAAAGTGTGTTCAAATGAGCTTTAAACTAAACCAGCTGCGAGACAACATGTCTAAACAGTTATTTTGGTCAACAGGGCCTTGTAATTTAATCATGAACGACATGCAGGAAAAAGTAATCTAATACACACATATACTAATGATTTCTATGGCATGAAACTGCAGTGTGATATAGGGCTGTTACAGTATATATAGTATGGTATAGTATCTATATATAGTGTCTTTTAACGTAGGCAACGCATGAAAACATACTGCATGAAGTGAGCGCATATGGCTCCGACAAGGAAGGTGTGAATACACATCAACAACATGATGTGTAAAATGTAATTTTGCAATTATCCAGAAATGAGAGATGTATGTTTTTATCTTTTGCTATTATTCATAAATGGCTGTGCGTACACACTCATAGCCCGTTGCGTTGGTTGTTAATTCATGCATCCAGTCTTTTTACTTCCTCAGCATCTTGCATAACTCTGTAGCCTATGCGTGTCCGTGTTTGTGTTTGTGCAGGTATGAGACAGCGTGAGTAAGAGAGGAAGAGAGGAAGAGAGGAAGAGAAAAAGAGCGCGGGAGAGAGAGAACACGTCTGTGTTTGCACTCGTAAGTCAGCCCACTCAGCTCACTGCAGTATGACATGAGGATTCAGACGACCACATGCAGTGCTTTCCAGAATGATTGGCTAAAATGCTGGGTATATGCATGGCACAAGTTATTCATTAAGGTATTCTGTAATCAGAAAAACTATTACTTTGTCTTTTTTAAGTTTAAAGCCAAAATCATGCCCTAACCCATGCATGTTATTCTGAAGTACTGGATATATTATAGACATTGTTAGACCCTTTATTTAAATCTATTATGTTAATTCAACTGAGGTTTAATATAGCAGTATCTTCACAGATATGCTATGCAGGATTTCTCTAAAAAAAAAAACATGTATCGATTCATAGAGATGTAATCCCTCACTTATCATCACTTATGACTCATTAGAAGTGTTTGGCGGTGTATTTTCCTGCAGAGACTCTGCTCTCTGCCTGTATTTTCTTATTTCCTGTGCATGGGACGTTTATGGCCATGCACCCCCACAGCATTCAGGTGAGGTTGAGACTTTATAAAAAGATAGCGACCAGATGCCAGACCATAAGCTCTGACCTTGTCACCTTTCGACGTTTGGTCACGGACCTTCGACATCCAGATATGACATGAAACGTACCCTGGGTGCATTGGTTGTTGACACTCTGGGACGTGGTGTCAAGTTCTGCCTGTTAGATGCATTGTGTTCTTTCAAAATACACGTTCGTTTTCACAGGAGATTTACCATTTACATACCGTCTCTTTCAAAATAAAGGCACTGCATCAGTACAACAACGCACACTGATGTTTTTTTTCCTCCAACAACTAACGCACGTGGTTAGGCTTAAGAATCGGAATCGGAAAGCACTCTCCCAGGTGAAAGTCGGTGTTTGTTGGACCCATCCACCAACACTCCTGCCCACCCTACTCGGACTTTCGCTGCCTTAACTTTTGTTCTTGTCTTGCCATCTTTCCCTCTGATGCCACCAAGCGCCATTAAACTATGTCAGACGTTAAAGGACACCTATTTTTGTCAGTGTCTGATGCCGCAAGTGACTGCCCATGCGCCAGATTTTTACTACTTCCGAGTCAGAATAGGTTGAAAAGACACAGCACCAAAAAAGAAAATGCAAATATAGCGAAGCGAAACGCCTAATGAAAGTGACTCTGGGGTTGACTTTACTATTACTTTGACTGGTGAGTGTGTGTAAGACAATCCTGCATAGTCTACCTTTAAAGGAATGCCATAAACAGTATGACCTTTGTTGCAACTACTGACACATTTAAAAAGCAATCCTCATGTGTTTTGCAGCATCTCAATAGCTCCACTTACTACAAAGATAATAAAACTTTTTCAGTTTTGAGGCCTCTTATTGTCTTTAAGCTCTGGAAAGGAAGTGCAAAGAAGAAGCCTAACATTGAGTTTCTCACTGATCAAATGATATGATTTCAGCAAGTGTAAAGTTCAGTTTAACAGCGATGCATGCGACGCACAGCACCCACGCTTACAGTGTCACGCTGCACATAAAGGTCACCTACATACATACATATTTGATAAATAACTGTAGTGGCTTGTGATTATTTTAAAGATAAAAGTAACACAAAATGTTTATCCTAACAACACCACACTTGCTTTATACTAAAAAGCTCAAGCCTTTTAATTTCACTGAAAAGCTGTGTATTGTTCTGTGCGTCTGCAGATACAGATGGGGCCAAAGTTATACAGTCATGCTGTTTGTATCTTGTTTTGATTGTCCATGTTTTTCCAGCGATTATGAAATGTCTGATGCAAACTCAGCTCACCCACAGTTTCAACCTCCCACTCTGCTCTTGTCTTTTAACTATGAAAAAGCTGTCAAGAGGAAAGCAGCAGTTTTAAGGACAGAGTGGGTGGACTCAGCTACAGCAGCCTTTCGCTGCTTGGAGCTTTTTGTATACCAGATGCATTCAGTCAGCGCAGTCCAGCTACCTTCGAGATCCTCCTGCCCAAAGTTGGTTCCCTGTTGGGAGCGTGTTCCTCCTCGGTCCACCACAGCCTCGTCATCATTCCTCTGTCGGACACATGGTGGCAAACACAGACACATATTCAGCATTATAAATATTATTCAAGAGCACAGTCATGCATTATCTGAGCTGAAACTGAACATGAACACTGATGTATCCCAAACACAGCATGAAACAATGTTTGCTGACTTGGTGTTGCCTCGCAGTCCAGGGCATTATGAACAAACACATTACCCAATTGGATAGCAAGGCTGCCATGGAAACTAATTGCACGTCTCATCCTGAAGAGGAAAGTGTATCATGTTAATACAAACAAAAAGCTTTTCATAATGGGACAACAAATTAGCAGCAACCTGCACTGGGACCTGAGCTCAAATGTTTAATTACTGCTTGATTTCAATTACAAAAAGTTAGGGGAAGTAAGTTTCTCCTCATCTCCCTTTGTTTTTCTTTTTCATTTAAATCACTGATTTATCTTTCTTCTTCTACCACCCACACTTACCCAGTTACAGTTACACTTCTTCTTAACTGGACGAGATAAAACCCAGGCAGTATTCCAAATAAATAAAACAGTTTTAGGAGTATTAGCTCTGATATTATGGCACTAATTCTCGTTGCAAAAGACAGGTCCACATGGAGGTTATACAAACTCCATGTTTTTTTTAGCAGGTCACGCAGACATTCAAATACAAAAGTGACAGAAAAAACAAGCATTGTGAAAACAACATAATCCTCAGGTCAGAGCTTTTGTCAGATTACAGGAGAGAAAACTGAACGACCGCTGTGTCAGCAGGAGAGATTTCCCGTGGACCGTCCTGTTCTACAGAAACACCTGGAGTCGCACTGAACACCCGTCCTCTCTGTGACACAAGTTACTAATAAGCACTTATCACAACCAAGAGACATACAGCCATTGTTACAGCAGGAGTTGGATCAGAGTACATTGGGTCTATTTGAACAGAGTCAGGTCACAGAGAGAAGCAGCATTCTGTGGTGTGAATGTCGGCCTGCTTATGTAAGTTTTGCTACTCGTAGAAGGAGCTGAGGGGGAGTAGGTAGTAAGAGGAAATCTGTAAAAGCAACAGGAATCAGTATTTGTCATTACAAAGTGCATGGAAGGATAAAAGGATAAAAAGTCAACACCTGATTATTCCTCTTTTATTTAAAAAAAACTACCTGTGATTCATTACGTTTTGTAGGTTTTCAGTGGGGCTGCCACTCACAATTATTTTCATTGTTAGTTCATTTGTTGATTATTTTGGTGGCAGTTATTAGAAATGGATAAAAGCAAACAGATGAACAAAACGAACTGAATATTTTCTTAATTAAATTAACTGTGACAAAGTATTGACAGAAAGCTTTTCATGAAAATGTCTTCATATATCAGCTAAATCAAAAGAAGAACTATTGGCTGAATAATGATACTTTGGCAAAAGTATGGAAACTAACATTGGCAGAAGCAGTGAGAGAGGCTGACCATGGCCAGTTAGAGGAAAGGTGAGAGGACGAGAAAAATTTTAAACTTTTCTTCTAACTTTTCTACTTGTGCTTTTAAGAGGAGGTCCTCATGTCAGTCCGAAATGAAATGAAGAGATGTGGACCTCTACACCAAATGTCAAACAAAGGCCATGTTCTGCCAATACAAATCAGTAACATTGCTATTTTGCATTTCCACAAATAGAATGAAAGTTTCACACATTTGAAACTGGGTTTTTAAGAGTCTCTGGTTGTTTTGGGATAGTCTAGTCCAGATTTGACAAGTCTCAGTATAGTGTTTTTTTTTTTATACATACCTGGTCCAATGTGGTCGTCGTCCTGAAAACCTCTGAAGAAACGCTCAGGGAAGTATCTTTGTGCTTCATTTAAATGGCAGACATAAATTTGTGAAGCCAACCAGTTAATCTTCGTACTTTAAGTATTTTGTCTTGTAAAAACCCAACAATAAATTTACTGTTTGTGTCTGTGGCGTCTTTTTACTATCGTTGTGCTGCATCAAGCTGTTGTGGGCTCATTACTGCCTCCTGAGGCCAGAAGGTGGAAAACACCCACTGGTACTGGACGACTGGTGTTGTAGTGGGTGTTCTTTTTCTTCTCAAGAGCCACAAGGGGCAACAGTGAGCCCATACAAACTTCGACCAACGGTACAAAGGTGAGATTTATGCTTTATTGTAAGTGTTTTCAAACAGTGTTCTTTGGTTTTACAAAGGAAAAGCATGTTAACATTCTAATGCTAGCAAGCTCAAAAGGAATTTCATTATTCAAATTGTCATACAAAGAAGAGTTGTGCATTGGGCATATGAAACTGTGAGGTTTTGGTAGTGCTTAATTAGTTCAAAATTATCAGGATAAATGCTCCATAGTTTGGATTTTTTTTAAATGGAGTTTTTATGAGGTACTTATCCATTGTGAATGTATTACCTTCAGGTGATGGTGGTCAACATGTTTCTGGTTTGGAGAAAAAAGCAGGAGAACCACCACAGAAGCTATGCAGTTTACTGCTGTGGATGGGGTCGACAATAAAACATATTTTGGTCACCTAAAAAAGTCCCACCTAAAACAATCAATATCAGTTTTTGTGTGCACTATATTGAGAGTATTTCCAGTGCTTTATCTTTCCATCAGACAGCGACTGAAGCCATATGACGCTCTCTTCAAAGCCAGACTCCATGAAAAAAAACAGTGATTTAAGATTTAACATTGCTGAACACAGGAGCTGCTGGTCTACCACTGCATTGATCAGTTCGTTTGTTTTTGTTTTTGTGTAATTTTAAGGGGGTTAGTTTGGATTCACCAAAGGCACACAGTAACACAAACTAACTAACTGATTGAGGCAGCAGTAGACCAACAGCTCCTGTTTTCAGAGAACCAAAATGACTGTTTTTGTCGATGGAGTCTGGCGACTTTTGAGAAAGCAGAGATGTGTCACAAGGAACCAGTGGTTGCCCCTGTTTTCAGATTGAATCAAAGCATTGGACAAAGTGTTAAACAACTGCCATATAGCAGAGCAACACAGGTAGTGTGGTTGAAACAGGATAAATAAATGCATATAAAATGATAGAGAAAACCACCGTTGCTACTGAAAACATTCATCAAACAACTGATTTACTACAGTGTTTGCTGTACAATCTGTGAAATGTATAAACATAGTGTTGATTAGTGCACCATTGGGCTTAGGAGTAAAACTCATTTGACACTGTCATTTACTGTAAATCCACGCAGCAACAGCTGGGATTGAGAAAGCAAACAAACAGACATAAAGAGAGCTCTGCAGAAGCAATCCTGTCTCCTGGAAATTACAAACAGATTCAGAGCACTTATTACAGTAGGTACTTTCATCCTGAAAGCTTGCTTGATAGATCAGCTTTTCCCTGAGCCATCTTGACCACCAGTTGACCATCGGGGCATTATGTTAATGAAGGGCACTGCTGGTCACAGCTGCAGTGCCACATGGGCTGGCCAGGCCTCAAGGCTGATGCTGATAATCTGTCAACAAATACACCGGGCATGGATCGACATCCCTGCTCAGATTAAACCGACAGTATTTGTTACTAAAACACCAGACACATTAGTCCATATTAAATGTAAACCACCATTATATGTGAGCACTGGTATATTTCTAAAATCAGTCCTATAGATTTGATCATTTTTAACAAGCACTTCTAAATACTGAGTTCACTTTTTCAAAGCTCTTTACATAGACAGCACAAAAGAGGTCAATGTGGACTAAACTGTCATTGCTAAAATGCATTCAGTGACCACATCTTTCCAAATTCACCACCAAGTTGATCGTGTCAGTCTAGTCTGCCTGACTTATTGATCCTTTATCTCACAGAGGTTTGTTACAACCCAAAGTCCGACCACGACTCTGAAATATTGTGCTGTGTATGGATAAATCGTTGGTGCTGTCCATGGTGCTGAAGTAGAAGACAGATTTGTAAATGTGCCTTTTTCTCTTAGCGCCATCAGTCTGTCAGTTTCATCTTGGACCTATAATATTCTCGAAACTATGCATTATAGATGCTCAATTCTGTTCTATACTGTAGCCCAGTGGTTTCCAACTGGTCCAACCATGGAGTCCAGATTTGTCCTTAGTCATTAGTTCAAGGTCCACACAGTTTAAAATATTCAGCGTCATACTTGCATTTGGCCATGTTGTCGAATTAGTTTGCTGTCTCTGTTAAGTAGCTATCTGTTAGTCACTCACTCTACAGCAGGAAATGGCACTTCAAAATAAAAGCTCTGTGCCAGATATTCACTGTAATTCAACATAAAGTTTGTTTTTTTAAAACTTGATACATTTGCGAGTCACTTGCGGTCCAATCAGAATGGACCCACAAACCAATTTTGAACTGGGAGCCACCAGTTGGGAACCACTGCTGTAGCCCATATACTCTACAGAGTAGCATAGTTGCGGAAGAGCAAGAGGATCACTGGGGGTGGGAATCACCAGAGATCCCACAATACGATATTATTAGGATACTTAACTCATGATACAATATTACTGGGATTTAAATGTGCCGCAATATCCTGAGTATTGCAACAACATATAATGAGGTAACTATTTCAGTCTGTTCATCTCAGAGCAAATAATTTTTATTGCCGATACAAAAAAGAAATTGATTTCATTGGTCTAATAAGCTACCAAAAGTTTAATTTGTACTTGCAACTTACTTACAACTAATACTTGGCATCTATGTATTGATAGTGTCATCACACAAAATAATGCTGCATGCTGTATCAATTTTTTCCCCCCACCACTAAGGATCGTAAAGACACGCTCAGTGTCTGTGCTGCCAGAAATACACCCCCAGACGAAGTCACCTCTGTCCCAAAATATTTCACGGGAGACACATGACTACGGTTAAGGCATCCTGCAGCAATGTCCTTTGGGTGGTGGACATGAGTGTGTGTGTGTGTTGGTTGGTTGGAGGTGTGAGGGCAGGGGGGTGTTCCCACAGAGCCATCCGCCACATTAAAAATTAACAAAATCACTGGGTGCAAAAGGTCAGATGTGGGTGAGAACTTGTGGCCAAATGCAGACGACAAGGTTGACTAGCACTGGTGCATGTCTGTATCTGTAGCTGTCCTATACAAGTATGTGTAGTCAATATGTGTAGTTATGTGTGACATTACAGGGATTATTTTAGTTTCGGTTATAATTACTCTGCAAAAATGGCAACAGAAAAGCCTATTGTAGCATATGGCAGCATTTGTGATTCATATCTGTGATATTTATGTTGTAATGCTATCTGTAGTTAGTCTTTTTTCTGGTTCTGGTTATTGTGTAATGAGTGACAAACTGTTACAGTTGGGAGACAAATGTTGTCCACGTCCAGGAGCAAGATTTAATTCTTGAGATGCTGCTTTAGTGCATTTTGGACATTAGATTAACTGTTAAAGGGGATAACTGGGCAAAGACATGCTTAGATGTTAACACACATACAAGACAGATTGAGCTACTTATTCAGACATGCTGATCAGAACAAGATCACATCAGTAAACTTGGTTCTGAAGACAAAGTATGTTCTGAAGAAAACTGGGAATCCAAAGAAGAGTTCAAGTGTAGTGGTCCAATTGCCCCTTAGGCAAAACTACACCCCACTGATGCTTTTTAGACTATAATCATCTACTCAACAGCAAAATCATGTTACAGGGCTGGCACACCACACAGCTGAAGTGATATCACAGGATGTGGCACATACTTGGATCTGATCCCTACAGATGGCTGTGGCAATTTTGGAACCATCAGTGGCAGCAATATCATTAACTGCACAGGCTTTCATGTGGCACAAAATACACTGTAATCCTAAAATGTTTCTGCTTTAAACGTCAATATCCTGTAAGAGGACACATTAGTACTACATTTCTTTTTTTTTAGAGATGCTATTTAAGGTGTTTTACAGCATTGAGCCCTCATTTTGGCAGACTTAATGTCTGCATCCACCGCCAGGCTGCGAGCTGGATCAGTAGTGGTCAGCAGGAGGAAGCTGTTCTCCACTTTGGTATTTTTGCCAGGATTTTACGCTCATTTGGGGCACAGAGGGGTCCCTTTCTATAAAATGTCCAAAATTTCTGTCCTGTCATTTACCCCCTGTTAACCTCATAACAATCTGAATGTCTCAGTAAGCTCAGTATTTCCTTGTCCTACCTTTTTGAAGAGCCAAGGAGCCTCCACGTATTCAGAATGCATGAGCTCTCCCTCTGTGTCCCCTGCTGTATAATCAGTTTAAACAGAGTGCAACACAGTCTAAAAGCTGAGCTGTGCAGTGCAAACTCCTGCTGCCCTGCTTCACACCATGCCTGACAGACAGTGCTGCCCTTCTGTTGTGTCAAACAGCTGTAATTTGTGAATGAGCATCTTTCGACAGAGCCACCAGTCTCCCATCATGAGATTATAACTGTGACATCATCGCTGCTGCCCAGGAGCATCTCATCAGAGACCAAGTTTGATTCTAGTAGCTGCAGCAATTAGTCGATTAATCGATTAGTCAATTGTCAGGCAGCTATTATGATGATCAAATAGTCGTTTTAGTCTTTTTTTTTTTTAAGCAAAACAAGCCAAATATTTGCTGCTTTCATGCTTTTTAAATGGGAGAATTTGATGATTTTCTTTGTCATACATGATAATAAACTGAAAAGCTTTGGATTTTTGGACTGTTGGTCGGATAAAACATACCATTTGAAGACGTCACCTGTGGCTGTGGGAAATTACACAGGAATTTATGGTGTTTTTTTGAAAAAACGATTAATCTTTTAATCGAGAAAATGATGGGCGGATTAATCGATAATGAATATTATTGTTAGCTGAAGCCCTATATTCCCACAATCCCTCATTACTTCACTCTTTATATGTATGTAGGGCAATATCACAATATTTTGACTGAATGCCTCAATATCCATACTGTGACAATATTGTAGGCAGTGGTTCCCAAGTGATGGGTTGCGGTCCTAAAGTGGACCGCAGGTCCATCCTGAGTGGACCACAAATGCCTCACAAATGTGTCAAGTTTGTAAAAAAACACACTTTATTTTGAAATACAGTAAATTTCTGGCTTAAAGCTTTTATTTTGAAGTGTCATTTCCTGCTGTAGAGTGAGTGACTAATGGACAGCTACTGGACAGAGATGCAAACTAGCTCAATAACATGGCCAAATGCAAGTATGATGCCAAATCTGAACTCTGAGCTGGACCAGTTGGGAACCACTGTTGTAGGGTTCACTACTGGTGCTGTTACAAAATATTTACAGAATGATATTTCTGATAAATAATCAGTAGTGTGGATATAATGACTAAGAAAATAAATAACTAACAGCTAGAGGAGTCTGGTAAGTTCAGAAAATTACATCACTTCACTGTAATGCAGCCCATAAAACCAGGAAAAGAACACTATGACGATATCCGAAATCTAAGACGATATCTACTCTATATCACGATATCTATATAATATCAATATACTGTCCAGCCCTATATGAATGTAAGGAGTATTTCTGCAGCTCCACCTGTCAGTCTGTCTTCTTCTTACACTCAATTTGATCTACAAAATGTACATTTAATATGTTGGTTTTTGATTTCAGCATTGATCCTCATATTGGTAGAAGCCATAAAGTCCAGGAAATGTAACTCACCAAACTTCTTTGCTCGTCTGATGGGCCCAAGAAAGAATTGCCCTGAAAGATAATAAATC